TGATTCTCTTTGTTTTCAAAAATGAATGTTTTGTGAATTTGTGGTCTAATAGAATGATGATAGCAGTAGGAGCAAAGGTATCTTTGATTAGAGTAATGCTCTTCTTGATTGGCCTTTGATGGCTATTTTTATTCATCAAATTCAACAACTGGATGCACAAAGAGAAATTATAACCAACAAATCTATCTAGCATCTCAGTGATATAGCCATAAACAATGTTAGAAAGTCACTTCAAATAGTTTTATTTTATGTCTGCTGTGTGTTTGGTTAAATACTAGTTTTATTTTATGTCCACTATGTGTTTAGTTCAATAGATGACTAAACTGAGGTTGTCTTTTTTTGTTATGTTCTGTAGATACTTTCTACATCCTGTTCACTTGCAGCAAGAAGACATTGGGAGAATGCAAGGGCAGAACTGTGGCGTGAGGAGTTAAGCTGATTGAGGAGATTGAGCAGAAGGTAAGGGGGCTCCGAGAACTTGAGGAAGCTGGTCGGAAGTAGAAACTTATTCAGTCAAATGCATATATATGCACTTTACTCAAACATCAATGTATATAGTTCTTTAGCCTGGTTTCCATATGGTAGGGAAAAACGAAGTCGAGAAAATATTTTACAGCAAATTATGTTACACGTTTTTATTCTTTTTTTCCTAATATTTTACATGCTTTAAATGAACATTTTTTCAAATATTTTAATATATGAAGAATTCAAGTTGATTATAGAAGCTTGAGAATTTCTCTTCATTCTAAAAAAAAAAAAATTTGACAAATGGTATTTCTTGATATATAAAAAAATAAGCACAGGAGAAAATTATAAATAAAATAAAATTGAATCATCAATTATAAAAAAAAAAGAGGATATATACTGATGGAATTATCCGTCTGTAAAGGTAAGGGTCTATACAAACAGAAAAATTCTTAAGATTTCTCAAGGTTTATACCAACAGACAAATCTTCCATTGGAATAAATCCGAGGGTTTATACAGACGGATTAGGCATTGGTATAGACCCTATACTGACGAGTTTTCTACCGACTAAAAACTCTTCCGTCGGAATAGTACCTAGGGGTCTATACCAACGAAAAAGGGGTGTATATAGACAGAAAAATTCCGTTGGTATAGATGCATCTCCTTGTAGTGTGAGATTTGATTTAATAAAATTAAATAAGAGTTAATTTATTTCTTTATAAATTAAGAGTTACTTATCGTAGGTGGGACTAATTAAATGAAAAAATATATTAATTGTTTTAATTTTTAAATATAAATAAAGTAAAATTAAGAATTAAAGTAG